GAGAATACAAGCACCTTAACACTAAGCCTTAAAAAGTAACACTACCTCAACCACATGGTCATATTAGAAGAATTCAGTTCATAATGTTTGCCCCTCAATAAACCCTGGTGTTGAAATAAAGTTGAATTTTCCCTGTTCTACACAAACCCTTAGACAAATAAAGACTAATGTTTCTTGTTTCCCCTGTTATATAAGTACCACCCAGTTTTATAAAAAACTCTCAGATCGAAAGAGTTATTTATCCCAGTTACATTACACCCCTTGGGAAAATAAAGGTTCAAGTTTATATCAAGCACGTTCGAAAGGTTAAAGAGAAAAATTCTAATAAATAGGTTTGTTGAAGAACCAGGCTGAAGCAGTGAGCTGGGTCACTGTGATACAGTGGTAATTGCTAAAGGTTTTACAAGGTTTAAAAATGTACTGTTCTATTATTTGCACTGTTCTATGACTCATCTTAATAGTAAAACTGGGGGAGATGTAGGGAACGTGTTTTAGGGATGCTGGATGAGACACCCTGGGAGATGTAGTCCCAAATGTACTCCAATACACCTGAGCAGTGGCAAACCTGTGGTGGTTGTTTTAAAGCTGTTTGAAAGTGCATATAAAATATGCTGTTCACTTCCAATAAATGGATTTGGTTGTTGTGACTCTAATCAACCGGGTTGTGTGGGTTTATTTATTTATTATATTAATAAAGCCACATTCTGGGACCCATTTTCTCCTTCCATTTAAATCAATTTCCTAAAAACAACCTCAGTGAAAGCTGCCCATTCAGACACTACCCATGGGCTTGATACAGCTACAAACAGGTGGAATTATTATAATTAAGTGTAGTTGCTGTTTGGAAGAGTGCCTGTAGGCTCTATAGTCTATAGCAACTATAGACTATGGACTACAGCAGCTATACTTAATTACACAGCATAAGCCAGAATTTAGGCATTAGACACATTATAGTTATAAACTGGGGATGAAACTTTAGCAATGAATATTCATACCATTACGTCACCTGAAGGCAGGGGAGGGCTTTATGTGGGTCAGAGCTTTCTCAGGGTCTTAGGAGGTGCCAAAAGGTGATTCCCCACTTGACCTGGCCTGGGGCAGGAACTGGAAACAGTCCCTTCCTTCTTGCTTTCTGTTGCTGCAGTGGTGGGAATTCTCTGAGGTCAGCCCAGGGCTGTCTCTTTTCCGCGGTCCTAGTTGCTGCCACCGCCACCCAAATGAGCCCAGATCTACTGCACAGACAGAAGGCTTGCTGCCATTCCACACCAAAGCCAAGGGACACAAAACCATGCCGCAATCAGAGTGTTTTTGGGTTGCCCTCATGCCCACCAGCACTGCCTGCCCAGAACCACTGATGGAGTGCCAATGCCACTTTGCCTGCAGCCCAGCCAAGCCGAACAGGACAACATGTGGTAGAGAAAAAAGAGACTCTGAACTGGTCTTTTTGTCCCCAAGGAAGTGGGTGCCACTTGGTTTTGGTAGATCTTTGGTTTTCTGGGTAAACTTTTTTCCCCCTGCAATTTTGCAGTTATTTTGTAACTATTTTCTTTTAGTAAATAGTTGTTTTTTCACTTACATCTCCTTTCATTTTTGTCTTTTCTATATTAGAGGAAGGGGAACAAAAGGGGAGGGGTTTCATCTTATTGGAGTTCCCCTCTCCCAAATATACCAAGACAGCACATTTTTCTTAAAATCACCACCGAATATAAATAAGCTAATTAGGCCCCAAGTTATTCAATTCTAAACTTGTACAGCGAAAGCAAAATCGTTTATGTTAATTACCAGTTTCTTTGTAAATATAAAACCAAAACAGTCTTTTCTTACACTTAATTTAATAAGAATATTGCTTATTAGTAAGTCTATCAGCCCTGTGAGTAATTGCCTTATCTGTTTACTAAAATTGCATCACTCAGTTCCTTTCAATCTGTTTTCCCCAATTAAACAGGGTTCAGACAGAAAACTAATCTAATATGTATTTTACCCCACCAATTCTAGGACGATGATTCCACTATAACCATCTTTTCTAGTTTCCATGTCTATCACATGCCATCTCATCAGTATTATTCAATCTTGCATAATCTTTCTAGAAAGTTTTATAACTGAGAGATTCTTAAATATAGCTTAATCATAACTTTTTTTTAGGTAGAACAATTGTGATTGAAGAGCATTCCACGCCCAGGAGATAAAATGGCAGAGTACTAAATATCTGGGGGTTTGTTGAAAGATTAAATGGCTTTGATCACTCGCATTAGGAATATATGAGGAATATTGCCATTCCTCCTACCTGTTGTTAAAAAATTGATCTATTTAGACCATGCCAAGAATTCTCCAGCTACATGCCTACCACCTTTGTAGTAAGATTTTCTGATAGGCCAAGAATTTCTGAGTCCATACATTCAGAATGTTTTTTAATATAAAGAGAAAGATGGACATGATGATAAGAAATAACAGATTTTGGAAGAGGAATATTTATTTTCATAGAAAAAAACATTGTGAAGCAAAGCAGTAGTAAGCATTTAGGACAATATCCAGTTGGTGACTCAGAACTATTGGTCTGAGGCCTCAGGTAAAAGAAAGACTGTCATTCAGCTCAGTAGACAAATCATTCAGGGGAATTGTCAGTATCAATACTGTAAAGGAACTTAAATAACTGACAGTTTTATAGCTGAAATAAAAGAAGCACCATCTTCAACTTCCGAAGAATTGGGTTATCTTCCCATTGCAATCTAAAGAAAGACTTTATAAGCATTTTGTTGTTTGATAAAATAATTAAAAGGTTCTATTATAGAAATCACCAGGAGGAATAAGACCTCTTTCAGTTCTGATGATGTGGTAGAGCTATATAACATTTGTTTGCACTTAAAAAAAGCTTTTCAGTTATATGTAACCAATAAACAAAAGTTCCTATATTTTTTAAAAATGGAAAAGGGGTAGGCTCTTGTCTTTATAGACTTCAAGCCTAGTCTCATTAAAGCAAATCAACTGTTAAAAATAAATGAAACATGAATAAAAATAAAATAGGAAAAAAAAACAAACAAAAGAAACAAAAAAAAACAAACAAACAAAAACCCCAAAACCTCTTCCCGCTCTTCTGGGAAAAATCCCAAAGACTAAAAAGACCAGTCAATTATCCTTTCTTATCATCAGTGTAAATAATAATTTATAGACCATCACCTTGCAAAGCAGATGAAAGATAATGGATCTAACTTAATCTAGATTAAGTAAATACAGGTAGATAGGAATTGCAAAACTCTTCCCAGATAGGAATTGAAACACGAGTTCTCTACATGCAGTGTATAACCAACATGCCTGCAAGACAGTGACGGAGATGTTTAAGCAAACATCCAGTACAACCATTAGTTTTCACCATTTTAAAGCCATGAGTTAGTAAAGAGTCATTTACTCATAGCTTGTCTGCTACCTTATGGAAAAACTCTTGGTTTCGACAGCACTGTTGCAACTGCATGCAAGTTAGGAAGGAGAGAATAACAGGTACACACCATGCACATTTTATATTTCTGTTATAAACTAACTGAAATGAAGACAAACAGCAACCAGACTACTTCAAATCTTGGAAATAACACAGCTTCTGTAAGTGAAGTCAATGAAAAAAACCAGCTGTTTACTTTTAACAGTATTCGTACTATTATAACTGATCAGAGATATTGATTCTCATGTAGATATAAAACAGTAACAAAAACTTAAGCATTGTCTTATCCTAAAGGACACCGAATATTTCCTACAGAAAAGCAGAGAAAGCCCATTGCTATACTTAGTGTGTTCCCAAGGGAATTGGAGCACCTCCCCTACGAAGACAGGCTGAGAAAGTTGGGACTGTTCCGCCTGGAGAAGAGAAGGTTGCATGCAGACCTCATGGCAACCTTCCAGTACCTGAAGGGGGAAAACAGGGAAGCTGAAGGGAGACTCTTTGTAAGGAACTGTAGTGATAGGACAAGGAGTCATGGGTACAAACTGAAAGAGGGGAAATTTAGGTTAGACATATGGAAGAAATTTCTTACTGTGAGGCTAGTGAGGCACTGGAACAGGTTGCCCAGAGAAGCTGCGGATACCCCATCCCTGGAACTGTTCAAGGCCAGGTTGAGTGGAGATTTAGGCAATCTGGTCTAGTGGGATGTGCCCCCGCCTATGGCAGGGGAACTGGAACTAGATGAAGTTTAAAGTCCTTTCCAAACCAAAGCATTCTATGATTCTGTGACTCTAAATCCAGATAAAGGTCAGGTGTATCTACATTTCAGTTCTATCCCTTTCACAGGAAAGATGATTCAAACAATGCTTTTCTCTGGAACCAACAATAAATCTCAAGGGGAAGCATGATCTTCCTATGTCCCATCTTTTAACCCTGCAACAGATATATGACACTTGACTTACTTAACTTTAAAACAAATTTCAGCTATTTCTCTCTAATATTCTAGGGAATTAAAATTCATATTTATGATGCAAACTGTTAATGTCACAATATTTCTACTAATATTTCCACACTGAAGTTGTAAAGTTGAAGAGGGAATTAATTGTAAGTATTTATTTACACTGCTGAAGCTATCAACGTCTACTTTATATAGTACCAATTTTTATATATGACAACCTCCTAATGAATCAGCAGCACTGAGTCTAGAAGTTATATCAGATTAATTTATGGTCTGTTTGCTAGAATCTGATGTACAATAAAATACAGCAAATTAAATGTTCTATAGGTTAATGATTTATGCTCAGTGATGAGTGTGCATTAAAACATTTACTGAAGAATCAAATGATGCTTCTAGACAACCACCAAATGGAAGTATGAAAAACACAGTGAGGCTGTATTACCTCCCGTGGAAAATTAGAGGATGGTAGAAAACAGTAGCAATGAAGAGGTAAATGATGGAGCAGATGGGGAGGGTACCAAGATGTTGAAAAATTAATTAATGACTGAAGTATCTTGAAGAGGAAAACTAATTTATAATTGGTAAGTATCATTAATTAATTTAAGTTTCTCTTCCTTTTTTTTTTTTTTTTCAGGTAGCCTGTTATACTGAAAGATTCCCCAGCATGTTGTGGAAGGATGTAACACCTTCAGAATTTCTTTGAGTTGAAGGGCCTGTCAGCTTACTATTAGGGACATGAAGTCAAATGCAAAAGCTCTGCAACAGCTCTTATATTCAAACATAAGAAAGCCACAGTAAAGCCATTACGAAAAAGAAGGCAGTCTAGTGAGAGATCAACAGATTTTGTGCACACAAAAATCCTACAAAAAGGAGCCTTCGAGTGTATCAGTGCAAGCCAAATATATCAATGGATCATATATAAGAAATGCTCTATTGTCATGTTAAATATGAAAAGACGTAGAGACTACAGAGGGACAGCAGTGAAGGTTTTGACCATGTAATTATTTGTACATACAACTTAGAATATGACAAGGAGGATAGTGTTTCAAATTATCCATGTGTCCCAAAATATGTTCACAGATCATTTGTTGATCTGCTAAGATCTGACTTGTTATTTATTCTGTCGTTTTCCTGTAGTTGTCATCAGCTATCACCATATTACACATTCTCCAAAAGGTTACTCTTTTGGAGTAAACAATTAGAATAATGAGAGAGCTGCAATGAGCTGATCTCAACTAAATGTGTGTCTATGCAATGGAGGCTACAGTCTAGCATTATTTACCACAACAAGGATATAAATCATAGATGAAAGTAAATCAACAAGCTTTCCAATACAAAACGTTACTATTTTCAAACACTACTTCATTCCTTCATTCATATTTGAAGGAGATAATCCACCAACACGGAATTTCTGCTCTAGTGACTCGCCCAGCATGTGTCCTGCTGTCACTGATAGCAACCCTGCCCTATTTGCTAAAATGTGAATCAGAAAAATTACCTCATGCCCAGCAGGTTTTACATGTCCTTTCCTCTTCTGTTAATTTATTTATTAGGTTTTGCCTTTTAACACAGTCCTGAACTGCTGAATGGTGACACCATTGTTTGAGTGAGTTTAAGGTATGGTACTCTATGCCTTAGTTATCAGCTGTTTCTAAATCCAGGTCAAAAGACATGCTTATACTTGATCCAAAACGCTAAATCCTTCTCTCTTCGACCAACAGATTTGAGAAAAAAAACACAAAGAAGGGTTATCTTGGTAAGAGTATGTAAAGGTTATTCTTTTACCTGATGTAGTGGAACACAACTACTAAAAGCTCTATCAGATAGGATTATATAAATATATATTTTTATATATTTTTGTATTATATTTATATATATTTATATTATATTTATATATATAATATTATATGTATCATATATATAAAATATATAATACATATAATATATATGCTATTCTATTCTGTATTATGTATTTCTATTTCATATATGATATTTATACTATAAATAAATTTAAAAACCTGAAAAAAACAACTCAGATCCACAACTCTCATACCTAAGTAGAAAAGAATTGCACACATCAGCCTGAGCTTTTCCTGTCAAAGAACTTGAATGCCAGGCAGTTTTTGTCACAAAATAACCTTTTCCTCTTGACGTAAACAGAGAAAAAAAGGGCATAAAAATGTAACAAAATTTGATGGCAAGCTGGTAGTTTTATAATTGTTCAGCTAGACTCTTGTATACCTAATTTTGGGGACTAAAATAAGGAGAGTCAGCAGAATCAGACACTAGGATAAAATGCAATTGCCATATCTTTCCCAGCAAAAAAAAATTTGCTATCATCCTCATCATATCCTTCTCTGGTCTGAAAGACATTCTGTATGTGTCAGTTATGAGCACACTCTAATACTGGCTAAGGTCCTTACCATATGTACAGTAAATTGAAGAATTATCTGTTTGGAACCAAAACAAATGAAAAAGAAAGATAAGGTGATTTAAGATTCATTGATTTACCATACCTTTACATATGGTCCTTACCAGCATAACTAACTTGATTTTAAAGGTGTTAGTCATGCTGTTCAGTGTGGTCCTTTTTAATCTACAGGATAGAAAAGGAGGTCTAGTTTCAAACATATGTTCCATAAAATGATACAACTCTATCTGGAGTGTTCTCAACAATTCTTTTCAAATTCTCATTCCACAATCATAATAAAGCTCATTTACAAACATAAGCAATATCTCTTTGATGGTGTTTTCACTCTTTGACTAATTCAAGTTAATGCACCTCAATCCAAAACTGTAGTCTTCACATAAATAATCTGTGAAGGAACAAGATTCAGGATGGGAGTGGTTCCAGGTATGGAGAAAGACATATAGCAATTGACAGGACTTTATTATATGGACTTTACCATTATTATGTGTATTGCATTGTACCCACACTACACAGTGCACAGCCTGGGCATGCCCGGGCTTGCTAGGAGTTCGCCTGCTCCCTGCTTCCCTGCTCCCCTCTCTGATAGGCTGAAGAAGCTGCAGAGAGGAGACAATTACCATTCGCCCTTTCCTTCCCCGGTTCCTCCCACATTCGTCCCCCTTTGCTTGTGTCCCTACCCTGGTTTGTTCCCCTGTTTGTCTGTCTCATGCTCCACCCCATGTTCTAGCCCTTTCCCCACCTGAACCCATAAAACTTCTGGACATCTCAATAAAGTATTCCATTTTGACCTCTACCTTGTCTCCGGACCCGTCCGTGCTGTGTCACGGCCCCATTCCCCCTCAGACCGTGGTAGTAATCCATTCATTATCCATTTATAAGTTTGAGTGATTCCTCACACCCTATAAATCTTAAGTATTAATTAAAGTTTTAAGTCAACATGTCTTTCTGCTAAGAAGATACCAAAACCAAGTAACACAACTGAATTAAAACATAAGGGAGACTGAGAAGAAGCATTTCCCTATCAGTAAAAGAAAAAAACTTTACTGGATCATGTGAAAGGTCTTTCTTAGCTAAGTTTCTGTCTCAAATAGCATCCAACAGTTAATTTCTATCTAGGTTCCTAGAAGGGAGACCTCTACGGTTTGGAAAGGCAGAGCTGACATCCATATCCAGAGAGAATTTTTTTTTTAAATGTATCTTGTAACAGATAAGTAGGTGTGGTGGTTTAATCCCAGTCAACAGACAAACCTGCAGACAGCTGCTTGCTTACTCACCTCTCCTGCAGGATGGAGACAAAATAGGAGAAAGGTGGTAAGATTATAAAAGTCTATTGAGTTAGTTCAGTCCATAACTTGGGTTCCTTCTGTTATAGAAGATCAGAATAAAATATATGGCTTGTTGTGTTGTTGAGAAGCAAAGACAGCTCAAGCTGAGTCACCAGCTCACTTGTTCAGCTTCTTGTGAGGTTGGTCCTCCGTTTGCTTGGGTTGTTCCTGCTACAGCACTTCCTACAACATCCAACTCAAACCATGGGTTATAACAGGTTAAATGTATATCCATTACAATTTCCACCCCTTTTCCTTTGGTCCAGGTAATAGAGTTACTATTGCAACACCATCCACACATTGCATTTGTGCCAGCATGAACCCTCCATGGGGTGCAGTTCCTTTGAAGGTGTACCTGCTCCAGTATGGGCTTACTCATGGACCATAGTCCCTTCAGGAGTGTTTCTGCTCCAGCTCATAGCTGACTTCGTGCATGTCTGGTACAGCAGTACAGGAATGGCAGCAGTGCTAGGGTCATATGCCAGTCCAGGCACTTGGGCACATATTGTTAATCAAAATGTTGCCAGCCATGACAAACTAAGATGATGAGTAGTACCTGAAACAGCAAAACCAGTCATCAACAAGCCACAGACTCTAATAAGTGAGCCTCACGGCAAGCATAAGAGCCTGCAAAATAACAGTTATAACAGCTATAAATTCAGACTACAAACAAATCTGATGTTATCCTGAACCTCTTAAGCCCTGTGTCATGCAATAAAATTCTTGTGGTGGGTTGTCCGCACAATGGGTTGTGTAGGCAAATACCTATGCAGCCAGCCAGTCACTCCCCTATCTCTTGGGAGACCAGAAAACAGAAGAGAGAGAATAATATTCATGGATCAAAACAGAGAATTTAATAGGTGGAAAAAAAGCAGTTTCACTGTTTCGCATGGACTGGAAGACATTTAGCCACTTCCTGTAAAGCAGAGCCTTAGCATGCACAATGGTTACTTGGGAAGACATAAACCATGACCACAAATGTACCTAATCCCTCTTTTCTTCAGCTTTTATTGCTGACCACGATGTTCTGTGGCATAAAATATCCCTTTGGTCTGTTGGGATCAGTTGTCCTGCCAGCTTCTTGTCCACACCCAAACTAGTCCCTGACAGAAGTTGAGGGAAGAGAGTGAGAAAAAGAGAAAAGCTTGATAATGGGCAAGAAATACACAACAATAGCCAAAACATTAGTGTGTTGCCAACAGTGTTTCAATCACAAATTCAAAACACCATATAGCCTGCTACTGAAAAAAAACCCAAACCCAACCAACCAAAAAAACCCCTTCTATCTCAAATAGACACAGTACAGTAGGGATGAAAAGACTGATGTATTAAAGATCATGATACTTCTTTCCTGAATTTTCTTAACTTTCAGTAGTCTGCAGTTTAGGGAGCTCCTGACATTACGGCATTAAGCATTTGATTAGACACCTTAATGTTCTTACTAGATGTTTACACAAAAATTAGAAAATTCACCAAATGAAAACTTTCTAATCTCTTTTGAATATATGTCAAACTGGAAGGGACACTAAGCAAGTTTGCAGATGACACAAAACTGAGAGGAGCTGTTGACTCTCTCGAAGGCAGGGAGGCCCTACAGAGAGACCTCTGGGCAATTAGAGGACTGGGCAATTACCAACCATATGAAGTTCAAAAAGGGGAAGTGCTGGATTCTGTCCTGGGATGGGGCAATGCCAGACGTTTGTGTAGCCTCACACTTGCTGTTTTTAGCACCATGCTCCAACTAACTGAGCTAATCTCAGGGTCACTCATATCATCAGTACCTACACGCCTTTAGGTAGCCCTCAAAATCAATCCTCCCCACCCCGTTATAAGATCTGTATCCACAGCAATTTGAATGGAAGAGAAAAAAAGTCACAGAAAACTATCAAACACTTTTATAAAAGCCATTTTTTATATTCCATATTGATGCAGTAACAGATCACACCCAAGTATGATTTTGCATATTTTTCACCATTTATAGAAGCAGTGATTCTGATACATATTCTACTTCTCTCCTTCTATAATAACTTCCATTTCAGTTCTATTTTTGTTATGTTGCAAGAAAAAAAATGTTGTATTATCTTATTATAAGTCTATCCCTTGCTTATAACTTCAGCAAATTTTACTGGTTAAGAGTGAATTTTTCAAGCTGTTCTCTGTACATTATTTAAATGTACAATCAGAAAGTACTCAACTATTTCCCTGAAATAACTCAGTTGGGAAAAATTGTGAAACTACCTATTTATATCAGGTAGTTTGTTTAACATTACTAGTCACTTCACGACATACATTCTGCAGAAGATGAGAAAACAATCAAAAAGTTACATTTTCTATCTTGATAAGAGTACACAGATTTGAAAAAAAAAAACCCAACAGGTGGAAAAGAGAGAAATATTCTTTCATCCAAGCTTAAAGTGAGATTTGTGTCTTAATTCTTTGAAAGGTCTAGCTTTTCTTGACATTCCCAAATGCCTTCAACAAGCAATTTGGCATTCTGTACTTATTGACATGGGAGTCTTATGAAAAAATACACTTTTATTTACCAGAGATAATACTATCCATCTTGCAACATCTTCTGGTAAAACCAAAAGAGAACTAAGTCTTCTACCACACAGAGCTATGCCATCCAGTCTACACTTGGTCGTTCTAACTTACATGCTTTACTCTTACCTCAGAGTCAGGGGTCAACTACAAGAACTTCAAGTATCAGCATGCCCCTGGTTTCCTGCTAACACACACTAGAGATTCAAGTAACACCATATCTCCAGTTACTTATGTTAACAACATAACCAATAAGATGCCTAAGATGAATCCAAGGCTGAGATGTGAACAATGAGGGTCTTTGTCTCTGTTGGCTCCCCTTGATCCCGTGAAACAAAGGAAGAGAAATGATAAGCTAAATCAATCAAACTGCAACACCCAGACCACTGCTCTGGCAGTCTAAATGGCTCACAACATATACTCGCAGTCTGAAAAGGTTTAAAACCTACTTTTTCTTCTAGACAGATGGCGTTCACCATTGAAGAGGGCTTACTATTCAGAGTTATTTATTTTAGGCAATTTATTTTAGATCTTATGCTCTCCCATTTTATATGTTTCCAGTAGATAGTAGAGACCAGTTCCACATGCTTCTGCCTCCTCACTGCTAGGGATTCAGCTGTCTCTCACTGAAACTAAGCACATTTTAAGTAAGAAACTCATAGCTTAGGCAGCTGTCTGGTGAGCTTGGCTGATGTGGACTAAACCTCACCAATACCTGACTTACCCAGACAGCAGGAAAAACAGCTTGGACAGAAGTACACAGTCTAGGGTTTTCTCAAAATAAACTAGAGTTTTACAATACAAACAGTGGTCATGCTCTATGCTTCACTAACCAGTGTAGTTTTATACTGAAACTGTAAAGCTAAAGTTTATCTTCTCACAGTACATAAGCAAAAAAATCATATCTCTAGTATAAATGCACTTCTTGTGGAGAAGTTCCTTAAGTTCTGGCAAGTTCTTTCAGGAATGGAAGACTCCTTGGAACTGTGGTTCCAAGATTACCACTAAAAAAGGAATACCAAACATCTGATAACAACATTTCACAAAATCATAGAGTGGTTTTGGTTGGAAGGACCTTAAAGTTCATCTAGTTCCAACCACCCAACCATGTGCAGGGACACCTTCCACTAGACCAGGTGGCTGAAAACCCCATCCAACCTGGCCTTGAACACTTCCAGAGCACCCACAATTTCATCTAACAACCTGTTCTAGTGTCTCAGCACCTCATTGTAAAAAAACTCCCTCCTTCTTTCTAACCTAAGTGGACACACTTTCCGTTTAAAGCCATTCCTACTTGTCCTATCACTATACACCCTCATAAAAAGTCCCTCTCCAGCTCTCTTTCAGCCTCCCTTTAGCTTATGAAAGGCTGCCATTTGATATCCCTGAATCCTTCTGTTCTCCTGACCAAACAGCCACAATTTTTTCAGACTGTCGTCACAGAAGAAGTTCTCTAGTCCTCTGATCATCTTTGAGACTCTTCTCTGGACTTGCTCCAACAGGTTTATGTCATTCTTATGTTGGGGGCCCCATAGCTGGACACAGCACTCCTGGTGGGAGTACAGGAGTAGAAGGGCAGAAATCACCTCCCTTGATTTGCT